CAGCGCACTCGGACCCAGCGCACTCGGAGCCAGCGCACTCGGCGTTAGCGCACTCGGCGTTAGCGCACTCGGAGCCAGCGCACTCGGAGCCAGCGCACTCGGAGCCAGCGCACTCGGAGCTAGCGCATGTGTAGTGAGTCTAGCGATACCGAGTCGCCGCGAAGCGGCGACCGGGAGCGCTAGTACAATTTATAAAAAAAAATCTCCAGTTCATTCCTCAATTCACCACGGACCTTCCGCAAATCGAGGGCAGCGAGGATTTCATTGCGGACGCCCAATCTCGCTCCAATCAGCTAAAAGCGATGATCCGGCAGTCACCGCCGCCAGGGACCGTCGAAGACATGATGGAGGCACAGAGAAGGGATGAAGAGCTGGAAAGGATGGAAACCTCGACGAAGCCGAAACTGATTGAATTCCCACCGGAGAAGCGTCTCATCTACGAAACTCCGAGGTCAAGGCACAGAATCAATGTTCCCGTCGGTTTCAGGCGAAAGCTTTCGAGCAGTATCGTCATGTCGGCCATCGTGGTAAAAGACCGATGAAAAATTCCCACAGACCGCTCCGCAGATCATTCCAGTGTCGAACGAACGTTTCTCCCCTGTCCATATCGATCTCATTGGACCGCTCTCCCAGTCAAAGGGAATCAAACATAGTCAAATACATGTTGACTATGTTTGATCGATTCACGAGATGGCCTGAGCCGCGTGCGATTCCGAACGAAATAGAGAGCTCCTTGTGTGTCTGTGGCACTGATTGACGCCTAGATTCCGCATTTGGTGTGCTAGACTCCATTACGATAGACCAAAGCAGACAATTCGAGAGTCGGCTTTTCCAGAAGATAAACGACCTTTTTGGCTGCGACCGCGTCCCGACATCGGCTAATAATCCAAGAGCCAATGGTCGGGTGGAAAGATTTCATCGACAGCTCAAGGATGCATTGCGATGTCATTCTGCGGAATCCAATTATTAGAACGAGTACGAGCCGCTCGTGCTTTCTTTGTTCAGGGCTACTACGGGAGAGGATTTCTGAGCTTCAAAAGCCGAGTTCGTCTTCGGTCAGAATATCAAGCTTCCATCATTCGTATTCCACCACTCCATATATGTGCAATGCTTATGACTTCATACCAAAAAAGTCGGGTCTTATTCAGTTGGTGCGATACAACGATACATCGTCGCAACATTGATACATTGAAAGCACATTATTATGCTTTAGAAGTCAGGCTCGCTGTTCTCCACTACTTAATCCTTGTATATTTATACTATTTCGTTGATTTCATATTGCGAGAACGAGTCGAATTGCGTCGCCATCTGCAATCGTGACCGCGATTCCCCCTTGCATCGCGGAGCGCTTCCCGACAAAGGGCCCCTGGGAGGCCATGAAGTGTCGGAAAACCGCGACAGAGGTCGAGCTCTATTTGAAACCTTCATCACCGGAAAAAAGAGGCATTCGGGCAAGATTGCAAGTTTTATTTTTTTACGAGACTTTGAGCGCTCGTGGGCCGGTCGATATTTCCGATTAAAGGCCCACGCATCCCGCGAGAGATGCCGCGATGTCCCTGATGAGTTCACCTCTGAGCCATGGTATTGTTGCTCTGTTCCGTACCGATGTTACTGACGATTTCCTGGACGGCACTACCGAACTCGCCTGCGCGCTCGATAATGAGAGGTAGCAACGCGTTGGCGATGTCTCGTCCAGTTAGGACGACACATCTTGCTCGGTCGAAGAAACCATTAGAGTTCCGAATACATTCTTGGTATCTCTGTTCAGAGAACTCGATACTGGAAGCAATGATGGACGGTCTTAGAGCAAAATATGCCTCGCGGGCGATGTCTCGGAACATTAGATGACTCACGGGTCGTAAATTGCTCGGGCGAAATCCGTGAGGTGCTGATTGAACACGTCCCGGATTTCTTTCGCGGCCGGGCTTGCCGCATCGAGCGTTTTCCCCAGACGGTTGTTGAATTCCTCGCGGTAGCTGGCAAGCTGCTCACTGAGACTCATCTGGACGCATTCAGGGACTGAAACAGCACGAGGGCGTTAGATTAGAATTCCCCAAAATACCCTTAAGGATTCGTTGAAGCGACTCACAACTTAGGGGGTCGAGCTCCTGAGCCTGCACGGCGATGAAGCAAAGAGCGAGGATGCTCAGACAACGCATGTTAACCATTGCAAGGAACGGGAACTGTGAACGAAAGACACCAATCGATAGACGACGAGGCTCGAATCGAGTCATTGGCTTCTCGGAGAGGGAAGGTTCCAACCACCTGCGAGACATCCTGAGAGGAGCCCGCGCCGACGCAGCGTGGCAGCACCTAGACCTTGCAATCAACGAGTCTGTGCCTCCTGATGGGAATATTCGTCTTCCTCGGTGTCACGGAGAAGAGAGTTTCCTCTCTCGATTTTAAAAAATTTCGAACTCACCAGACAATCAGAATACTGTAGTCAAGCTCATGGTGACAAGTATCCTGTCTATGCTGCATCCTTCCGTATTCTCTTTTATTGCATGAAAATGGAAGGATATGGGATTCCATGTCTACACTGATGACTCATTATTGACCCCGTTGGACCTCGAGCTTCGTTTCTATGGCCAAGATGACGACCAGAAACTCTTAATAGTTAATATAATTTTTATATAATAATTTTTATACAATAATTTTGCCTACTTAAAAATCGATTTTCGACCACTGTGCGGCGGTGGCCTGATGACGACGAGCCTTGAATCAAATCATTGTCTCAACGGAAAGGGAGGCTTCCAACGCCAGTTCACCTCAAGTAGTCAATTTCCAGGTGACAAGTGTTCTGTCTATGCTGCATCCTCGCTAAACTCGGAATTATGCGGAGGAAATGCCTAATTGTCATGGCCGGAGGAATCGAGATGATGGCACGAACTCCAAACTGTATTACCTGCCGTAGAGATCTCCGCAGATGTGATCCAGGGAGGTCATTGAGAGCAGGGTGATTCCCCCCATAAGAGTCGAATAGAGTCGAGGAAGGCCATCAGGCTTAGTGTCATTTCCCATGACCAAATTGGAGTTGATCGTAAATGAGGGCTGAATGGTCGGTGGGCGAAGCATTAATTCCGACATCAGATCAGGGTCGGATTGGATCGGGTTGAAATTCGAGGACCTTCCACAGGTGAATGGACTTGAGCAGGTGACAGGGCGTGCCCAGTGCCTGAGCGGAGTCATGCGCGCGCTTGGGCTCGCCAAGGGCCAGTTCCTTGCTCGGGGCCTTCACCTGGAGAAGATGAGTTCGATCACGCCTGAATCTCGAAAAAATCTCAAAAAAAGATTTTCTCAAAGTCGACGACACTCATCGCTATGAGTGAGCTGTGCCAGAGAGAATACAAATGTGCTGGAGGCAGTACAAGTTGTCTAGCAAGGCACTTGAGAACCCAGCATGGTGTACTTGATGGCGATCCCTCGGGAGCGTCCACGCTTAGGTGTAAAGGCATTAGAAGAAGAAACATTCTCACAGAGAGTGATTCCCTAGGAATGATTGCGAGACTAGCGGCGGAGGATGGAAAACATTTCACTACGATCGCCCGCTCAAAAGTCTCGCGAACTCTCTTCGAGAAGTATGGTGGCCCGCCTCTACCCGCATCGGCGCATATCATCAAGAGAATCTTCATGACCGAAGCTGAGTCGGCTCGTGGAGAAATGTGAGCAACTCGACAGAGATATCAAGATGGAGGAGGCTCTCTCGCGATCAATTTCGATGAGGCTCCAGCCGATAACTGCCGTCACCGATACCTCAGCCTTGACCCACGTACTGAGGGCTCCCATTGGGATGATTTCACGGCTGGAGAGTACATCTCCCTCGGGCTCATCAAATCGCCGGGCGAGTTGATGCCGATCTGATCAGTGAGTCCATTACGGAGCTTCTAAATCTCTTAAGGCGAAGTTGATAAATTGTTCCTTCGCCACCACCGACGGAGCTTCAGTGATGAAGAGCGCGGTGGCCAAGTTGGAAGTTCGTTCCCAGCTTCCCCTCGTGCATGGGCTCCACTACGCACTCGCTAGAGTCCTTCAGACCGACGTATCAGGCGCCCAAGCGGAACCCCGGGAATCTAGTCCCTGAGAGCGAAACCAGTGATGACGAAGATGACGGAGGCGCTTTGGATGTATCGGACAAGCAGACTGAGTTCCAAGCCGACTGGAGACATTCAAGATGGGTTAGAGGTCGAGCCGGAAGAGGAAGTGCTTCCTTCAATAGCGAGAAGCGCGCTGATTAGTTTGAGACACATTCTCAATGCAATCAAGCGCAGCGGTCCCAAGAACGCCAGGCTGAAGGAACTTACTGCATCGCCTGATTTCAACGGAAAACGTTTGGGTAGAGTTCTCGACACCAAGATCCGTTGGTACTCCACCATCCGGATCCTTGAAAGAGCTTTCCTCATATTGCCAGCCATAAATACCGTTCTGGAAAACTTCGATGAGCCTCAAATCAAGAAAGCAGCGAGAGTTGTCCTCCATAGAAATTAGATATTGCGATTCGTGAAGGAGCGAAATGAAAATACGATCTTTGACATCCACGAGGAGTCGATCGAATGATTTATTCTCCTTCATGATCATCTCCCATGACGAGCTCTCAATCCTCGCCGGGCGTTCTCTCGGAGCCTGCTCGAGACGCCTCGGTGATTTTAGGAGCGGGTGCCATTCTGGAGATGGGTCGAGTTCAAGATGAATCTACACTTTGTTGTTGATGATAAGCAGAGAATCGATAAATGATCAGAAGTCGAGTCTTCCCTGTCTTCAGTAACATAACCTTCGCATCGGGCAGGGAAAAGAACCACGTCCAGGGGTAAGTGAATCATTACTACTTCTGGTACCAAAAAAACAGGTCTCTTACCTTCCATTCGAGCAAAGAACAGTGACTAAAGTCAGGATACCCTAGAATCTGAATCCTGGTCTTCTTCTGAGCCGGCTCCAGGATGCTCCGTTCCATTGCTGGAAGTTTCATCTCTGGCCAATTTCTCTCTGCAAAACGTATAATCTACAGCGACGAAGTCACACAGACTTCAGTTTCGAGATGTCTATCCAAGGGGGCGATTTCGAAGTGAGCCTAGTCAAGAGTCGAGCTTTGACACATTCTGTTTCTCGAACGCGCCTCGGGATATGCCGCTCTTTTGAATCAGCTTCGCGATGGATTCTTTAAGGATCTCTTACACGGCCCAACTGTCATGCGATCGCTCTTCGTGAGGCCAAAGAGCTGATATCGCAGATGCCTCAGATAAGCGAAGCTCGCCTTTCGAGGAACTCCGAGAGCACCGTATGTTGACACTATAGACCGTTCCGCAACAACTGTCCGGTAGAACCTATGGCCAGAAAGAGAACTTTCTTACACTAAGGGTAGAAGGCGTAGAAGAATGAGCTACTCAGAGATAGCGGCGTTAGTCGGCAAAGCATTCGAAGCAGTTCTGGCAGAGGTCATTGTCAACGGCTTCCGGAGAGGACTAGTCTCTGAAGCAGAGGGCTCCGATACTCCAGGGAACTTCAGCGCCGGTGATGTATCGCGATTGCGAGACTCCGACGATGAAAACGTTCCCGTTTTGGACAGCGATACAGAGATCGAGTCGAATAACTTTGGGTGGGAGTCACTCACCGATTTCGAGTTGATAACTCACACTACGGACGAGGAGATCCTGCTAGCAGACACTGGCGAACCTCGAAGTAGTTCTCCGACAGAGTTCGCCGAACTGCTTCCCGCAGTTCAAGAATCCCTGTTTTACCAATAGCATCATCTGCGAGACCACGTCGAAGGGCTCTTTTCTTTCGAAGATGTCAATTATCATTGCTCGGCGAATAAAATAAAGGATCCTCATTTCGCTCAAATTGGCGGAAGCTCAGACGACCATATTGCGGATTGCGGTTCACGATTCGAGCGGTGCATCGGATTGATACCATCAGATTCAAGCAGGTATCCAAGGGAGGAAGGAACAGGATCCCATGCCTATCTAAACGTATAAGACACGAGGATATCAATAAACAGCATTACCACTACACCTCTACCAAGCTTCATCGGCGAGTTATCTGAGAATTGTGGGGTGGCCTCAACCCAATGTCCACCACCGTATTCACCATCTGCTCCGTGACCTTTCCGGGCCCCATTCCCTATCTGCGGAAATCTGATCATGGAAACGACCCTTAGCCTAATGACGCTTGTGAATTCCATCCGACTTAAATTAAGCAAATTACCCCGTGCTAATTGACCTATCGGGAAATTATGCCTCATTGTCAGATCGCTACGGCGGTTGACACGGCTTTGAGTTCCCGCAATCAAGCCGAGTCTCGCGTTGAGGCCGCGTTTCAGATGAGGAATTTCTCCATTGGAGTCCATGGGAAAGAATTCCCCTCCCATGATGCAGTCTATGAGAAGGCAAAGGTTCCTCATAAGCTGACACCAAGGGCTTGACTAGAGTATTCTGACTCTGTCTGTGTGACCTCTTCGTAAGGGAGGGTCTCTGTCTCTAGGTACATCAGGAAGCCCTGGGCCGCTCAGTGTAGACATGGAATCCCATATCCTTCCATTTTCATGCAATAAAAGAGAATACGGAGGGATGCAGCATAGACAGGACACTTGTCACCATGAGCTTGACTACAGTATTCTGATTGTCTGGTGAGTTCGAAACCTCTTTGAAAATCGAGAAAGGAAACTCTCTTCTCTGTGAGACCAAGGGAGACGTCACGAAAATTCCCATCAGGAAGCACAGACTTGTTGATTGCAAGGGCTAGGTGCTGCCACGCTGCGTCGGAGCGGGCTCCTCTCAGGATGTCCCGCAGGTGGTCTTACGTTGGAACCTTCCCTCTCCGAGGAGCCAATGACTCGATTCGAGCCTCGTCGTCTATCGATTGGTGTCTTTCGTTCACGGTTCCCGTTCCTTGCAATGGTTAACATGCGTTGTCTGAGCATCCTCGCTCTTTGCTTCATCGCCGTGCAGGCTCAGGAGCTCGACCCCCAAAGTTGTGAGTCGCTTCAACGAATCCTTAAGGGTATTTTGGGGAATTCTAATCTAACGCCCTCGTGCTGTCCCAGTCCCTGAATGCGTCCAGATGAGTCTCAGTGAGCAGCTTGCCAGCTACCGCAAGGAATTTAACAACCGTCTGGGGGAAACGCTCGATGCGGCAAGCCCGGCCGCGGAGGAAATCCGGAACGTGTTCAATCAGCAGATAGAGGATCTCGGCCAAGCAATTTCCGAACCGTGAGTCATCTAATGTTCCGAGACATCGCCCGCGAGGCATATTTTGCTCTAAGACCGTCCATCATTGCTTCCAGTCTCGAGAACGCTCAACAGAAGTACCAAGAATGTGTGCAGAATGCTGCTGGTTTCTTCGACCGAGCAAGATGTGTCGTCAACACTGGACGAGACCTCTTCAACGCATTGCTACCTCTCATTCAGGAGCGCGCAAACGAGTTCAGAAGTGCCGTCCAGGAAATCGTCAATAACATCGGTACGGAACAGAGCAACGATACCATGGCTCAGAGGTGAACTCAGCAGGGACATCACGGCATCCCTCGCGGGATGCGTGGGCCTTTGATCGAAAATATCGACCGACCCACGAGCGCTCAAAGTCTCGTAGGATAAATCTTGCAATCTTGCCCGAATGCCTCTTTTTTTACGGTGATGAAGGCTTTAAATAAATAGAGCTCGACCTTTGTCGCGGTTTTCCGACACTCCATGGCCCCCCACGGGCCCCTTGTCGGAAAGCGCTCCGCCATGCATGGGGAATCGCGGTCACGATTGCAGATGACGACGCAATTCGACTCGTTCTCGCAATATGAAATCAACGGAAGTAATATAAATACACAAAGATCAAGCCGTAGAGAACAGCAAGCCTGACTTCTAAAACATAATAATGTGCTATCAATGTATCAATGTTGCGACGATGTCGATGTATCGCACTAAATGTATCGAATAAGACCCGACTTCCTCGGAATGAAGTCATAAGCATTGCACAAATATGAGGTGGTGGAATACGAATGATGGAAGCTTGATATTCTGACCGAAGACGAACTCGGCTGTTGAAGCTCGAAAATCCTCTCCCGTAGTTGCCCTGAGCAAAAGAAGCACGAGCGGCTCGTACTCGTTCCACTAATTGGTTTCCGCAGAATGACATCGCAATGCATCCTTGAGCTGTCGATGAAATCTTTCCACCCAACCATGGGCTCTTGGATTATAAGCCCATGTCGGGACGCGGTCGCAGCCCAAAAGGTCGTTTATGTGCTGGAAAAGCCGACTCTCAAATTGCCTGCTTTGGTCTATCGTAATGGAGTCTGGCACACCAAATGCGGAATCTAGGCGTCAATCAGTGCCACAGACACACAAGGAGCTCTCTATTTCGTTCGGAATCGCACGCGCCTCAGGCCATCTCGTGAATCGATCAAACACAGTCAACATGTATCTATTCCCCTTGAATAGGGACAGCGGTCCAACGAGATCGATATGGACAAGGGAGAAACGCTCGTTCGGCACTGGAATGATCTGCGGAGCGGTCTGTGGAAATTTTTCATCGGTCTTTTACCACGATGGCTGACACGACGTGTTCGAAAGCTTTCGCCTGAAACAGACGGGAACATAGATTCTGTGCCTTGACCTCGGAGTTTCGTAGATGAGACGCTTCTCCGGTGGGAATTCAATCAGTTTCGGCTTCGTCGAGGTTTCCATCCTTTCCAGCTCTTCGTCCCTTCTTTCCGTAGTTTTTTTTGGGGGGGGGAGCAGAATCATGATGATGATCCCCATAGACCGCAATGTGCGAAGGCGGTGTTTTGAGGGGGGCATGGCCCCCTGGCCGCCCCCTCCCCTATATACGCTACTGCTTCCACGGTCCGTGGCGGCGGTGACTGCCGGATCATCGCTCCAAGTTGACTGGAACGAGATGGGGCGTCCGCAATGAAATCCTCGCTGCCCTCGATGTGCGGAGGGTCCGTGGTGAATTGAGGAATGAACTCGAGATGATTGGTCTTACGCCGTGATCTTTCCGTCTTCGGACTCATCACAATTATAAGAAGTTCATGGTCCGTAAGGACTGAATTGCCGACCCTCTAGCATAAACCTGAAGTGTTTGATCGCGAGCCCAGTCGCCAGAAACTCCCTGTCGGAGCGGAGGCTGATAGTTCCCTCTGACGTCCATCCAGTGCCGCCGAGGAAAACCCTAGCGGGGGCAGGTGTCGTGAGCGTATATCCTCGCGCTGCAACACCATTCCCACAGCGGTCTCTGAAGCATCGAACACGAAGGATAACATGGGACTTGCCTCCGGGGAACTGAACATGTAGAATTCCCAAGCGTAGGCTTCGCTCCCTAAAATGCACATTAAGCTTCGTTCGACCACGTCAGCTTCCATGAACCATGAACCATGAATGAACGATAGTATCACAGCCAGACCCCTGATGAAATGCCGATAAAAATGGATCATCCTCAGGAATCGTTGTGGATTCTTGACCGTCGTGGGTATTGGAAATTCCCGGATAGCCTCAATCCCTTTCGGCGGGAGGAGACGGCCCCCAGTCGAAACATGCTGCCCCAAAAATTCGAGCTCGGTGACTTCAAACTTGCACTTATCGGGATTGATCAGTGAGCCATCCTTCTCTAAACAGTCGAAATAGGCGCTCCAAGTGCTGTAGATGTTTCTGCTCATCTCGGGACGCAATAAAATATCATCGAGGTACACGAACACAGTTCTTGATTCATCAGGTCCATGAAGCGCTAAAAGGTCTGTCCTGCATTCCGTAGATCAAAAGGCATGCGAATGAACATTTGATCCGAACGGGGTGCGAATCGCCGTCGTTTGACCGTCATCCCCAGCAACAGGGATCCGATGGCGGGCCTTGACCAGGTCGATGGAACTGAAGACTTCGCAACTTCCGGATTGGATGCGAAATTCTGTAGGTGCGGGATGGGGTCAGGAATCGTGATTGCATTCAGGGCGCGATAACGCCGCACGGACGCCAAGTTCCATCAGGCTTAGGAAGCATGTGCAGCGGGGAGGCGAAAGTACTCTTCGAACGACAAACGAAACCATCTTTCTCGACTTGGTAGAAATAAGCCCCTGTGGCGGCGAGCTCCCCTGGATCGAAACGACAAACACGACAAGAAACCGGCCGTCCTTCGACCTCAATGTGATTATGAACCGATCGCTCACCTCTTGATCGGGGTGGCAAGACTCCGCTCAGCTTCGGCAATTTCCCCAACAAGGCCCCACACTCGACGAAATATCTTGCCACACTGATACGCAGCGAAGGAAGTAGGGCAACTGAACATTCGCCGGCCAGACAGAGTTTCCAGATCAATCAACCGCTTCTTACAGAAGTCGGGCGCAAAACTGCAGTGTGATAGTAGATCTGCCGCGATATCGCTTATATCGGTAATGATGAAGTCATACTCTATGGGCTTGCCGAAACCAAGATCCGAATTACAGTTCCTCTCACGAAGAGTCCCGATAGGTGCATTGTTCACAGCAGAGACCAATTTCGCCCGAAAGTGACTTCCTTCAGGAAGACGGGACGCGTCACTACCAGGTGTGTCTATCAGGAATTTGCGGCCGCTCAATGTGTCAACGGCGGAGAGTCGCTTCGACAGTCGGTCAGCGTTCAACGCCGCGATGGTGCCGACCAGCTCTAGTTTTTTTGTTTTCTGAGAAGGTCTCATATTCGGATTACCCTGGAGCAATTGGCGTCGTAACGGCAGAGAAGCGGCTGACCGGTATTGGAATCTCGATGGTTCCTACTGACATCGCGCTCTGCAGCATCCGCTCGCCCATGCCGTGCCTGCTCCAGTACGCAGGTGTCTTGCTTCCACATTTATGAGAGCTCCTGCGGTCTCGCGTGAACTTCTGCTACGCGTTCCACAGAAGAATCAGAAGCATACATCTGGTCAGCAGTCAGCACGAGTCTATCGAGCGGGAACTTATCCGCCACAGGCATGATGCTCTGTTGTATTTGAGACGGTAGTACAAGAAGCTACGAAGACTTCGTCTCGGAGTCTTTCGTAGGAATGACATGCTCTCGTTTCGCAGAGTGAAAATTGACTTCGAGATCGAGCAAAAGCCCTGAAGGCTTCTTATTGATTCTGACGCTGAACGGTATAGAGCTAGACGATCCGCTCTTTCTTCGACAGAGGGAGCCTCCATACGTGTTTAAAACGCTGCCCAGCATCGAATACAGAGAGTCCAGCAAAGAGCTCAGATAGCTCGAAGGACGATGGACATGGCTCGCGACCCTCAGAATTACCTCGCGACCCTCTGCTCTGATTGACGGCTGGCCAGACCGCGTATACCCTTTGCTGCTCAAAAGATAAAGTCCGACTATCACCATTCGAAAATTTCCCTCAGTCATGCGAGCCGTATCCCTGGATCAAGATGTCGATTCCAAGAGCTTCCGTGAACACATCCGGATTTACGATAACGCGCTGGCGATGGCATCCATGACTGCAAAAGTAGAGCCACCATCGGGATTCGGGCCGTATTGCTTCCGTGTTCACGGTCAAGTGTACCATGGAATTGGGAAACTTCGACCGCAGGTTGGAGAGCCGCCACAATGTGCTCAGGTGCTCATCATGGACACCGAGCAAGCGGCTCAAGAACTAGCGGGACAAGGAGTCAATCATAGCTGTCGCGAAATCATCTTTGCTCTCCTCCATGCTGCTTTGAACGACTTCAACCCGTATGTACGAGCCTTCCGACTCATGGCGCAGGTCGCTGATGAAGAAGCGCGACGGGCGAAGGACGGAGGCCGCCCTTCACGACCGGTGCGGATGGTCTTCGAACGAACTGTCGATGACGATCAGCGACGCTACAATGCAGCCACGGCGAACGAAGTGGACATCGCATACGTTGTAGATGAGGAGAACATTCCAGGAGAGAGATTGTTAGTTGTGCAGGAAACGAGCGGTCTCCTTCGTGACATCAGTCACTTAGACAGCCTCTGAGCTTTCAAAGACCTACCGGAAAGCGGTCGTGGTTCTTAAACTCACTTAGGTACACCAACGCTGTCACATCGAAGACCGCGGCGACAGGCGACGCGATGGAGATATCGCAACGCAATGCCGCACGTTGGGCGCTTGGCATATATTATCGCCAGATCAGCGAAAGAATAAGGACCACGCAAGACCTTGCCTGGGTGGCCGGGATATCCGGTAGAACAATGTTCAGAGTCTATCGCCATTATAGAGACTCGAGAACATCACCGGTCCATATCTGCGACAACAGCAGAGGATCTGCCCTCCTGGCGCGTTCCAGAGCGGGCTCCCGGTACATGACGATTCGGCGCCGGACAATTCGGCGCTGGACAACTCGGCGCGGATAATTCGGCGCCGGACAATTCGGCGCCAGGGATGATTCGGCGCCGGATAATTCGGCGCGAGGGATGATTCGGCGCGAGGGATGATTCGGCGCCGGACGATTTGGCGTTATAGGTTCTGAAGCTGGGAAACAATTAAGGCTCAGAAAGTCCCCTTGATCCCAAGCTCAGGGGGAGTTTAAACTCATAGACTCCGATATACCTATGTAAAACTACGCCCCTCGTTCAGCGGCGGTGGATGCACTCGCACGTGCGACGTCGCCGTCGCGTCGTCGAGAGACGCGCGATACACGATATCGTGAATCGTGCGCTCCTACGCAAGTCGACGGCGAGCGCATCGAAGACTTCAGGGCGTCTGTCATCCTTCGATCTGGAAGTTCATCGATGGTCTCCGCCAAGTGCAGCACAAGGCAGACGTTGAGCTCGAGTAGTACAATGCCGGTACTCTGCCGAAACCCAAAACGCGCAGATACCTAGACACGGATGCCCGGTTGCTCGAGCTGGTACGAACCATTGTGGCTCGTGAGCCAGTAGCTTTCTTGCGAGGGGTGGCGCACAATTTTCTCATGGAAAACTAGAAAACCTGTTGTCTTTCTCAATACCATGGAGACTATAATTGTAACACACATAAGTTTAAAGCACGTGAATATACAATATAAGGAATTAAAACTCACACTCGGGTCGCGCCTTTTGTCAAGCGCACCTCTGAATGCCTGAAGTTAGGGCATTTGTGCTTCTAGTTTGACCCGAGATCGACTCGTCCTTCTTCCTTCGATCAATTCATCTTTAACATCGCTGACTTCCGTAGTTTCCCGGTTTGAACACCCTCTGACTTGGCGCCGAATTATCCAGCGCCGAATCGTCCTCGGCGCCGAATTATCCAGCGCCGAATCGTCCGCGCCGAATTATCCAGCGCCGAATTGTCCGGCGCCGAATCGTCCGCGTCGAATTGTCTTGCTCCGGTTTGGTCGGAGTCCCCCATAGGCGTTTCGCTCTACCAGTCTGTCAAAGGCGGCTTCCCCGGATAGAGTGCCAACGGGGAGGCAAAAGTTCGACAACCATAATCCTTAAGTCGATTTTCTCGAATATTCTCGTTTCTCATGAGCGGTTCCGACTGTGTCGGGCAGAGGACGCGGCCATCTCAGGGTGACAAGTTACACCGCCTGTCTTTCTCTGTTTGAGCATTTTCCAAAGGCATCGAGAAGGCATTGTTCGCAAGGTCGGGGAACTGTCACGACGATTTGATTCTGCCTACAACAATCGGTTGTCGCTTCGTCGAAGTGTCCGAAGAAGGTGGACGAGCTGATGCGGGATCGAGACGAGGAAGTCGAACTCGGGAGTCGGGGTGGAATCGGAGGAGAAGATTCCGTCGATTCCGGAGGCGGATGGTCGATTACGTAGGGATCGAAGGCCGTCAGTATGATTCGAGCTGCAAGCGATTGCGTTTTTCTATATCACAAGTTTTTTTTCCGGTCACAAGTTTTCGGCCATGACCTTCAAGTTCATTCCGCGAAAGAGGGACGCTCAGCTCTCAGGAGATCCCGATCTGTGCATGCACTGCCTTCCCGGTGGCCGAATGCGTTCGTTCCGCGAAGGATCTTGGAATTTCTAGACAAAAAAAACGGGAAACTACACGATACTTTGAATCGCTAAACCAAACCTATTCGCCCGAATAGCTCACTCCCGGCGGAGAAGTGATCCGACGTCATTTCGCTTATCGCCGTCGCTCTTCAGTGTCTAGACGGGGTTGGTTCACGCTGCCGCTGGGCACCACCCTGGTAACAGAGACTTCCGCAGCGTAGAGGGGATGGGGTCGCTGAGAGAGTCCATCGCGGTACGAGTTCCTCTCGCTCGTTTCCCTATTCTCCTGCCAATATGGGAACGAGCTCGAAGCTCCGGCCGTGAGCCCATGATAATCCCTCCGAACGACTTATGGGGTCAAAGTCTTCATTAATCGAGAGGTTTTGACTCTGTGTCATTCGGACAAACTCATGGAGGGACGCTTGAAAACACCGAGAGAATGGTGCGCGACATCGCTGCTCTAGCAGCTTCTCCCTGATGTATACAAGCATGAGTTCTCTACTTGAATGAAGACTATAACAGACGAGAATGCTCGAGAGCTCTCTAATTGTGAGATATTTCTCTCCTAGGGAATATTCTCATGCACACTGTCTATTCACAGCCACACTTTTGGTGGATCTCCCACGGCACTCCTGGCGACGTCGGGGAAAACTCCAATGAATAAATCACTTTCAATGGCGTTGAGGATCTAGGATCGAGTCCGGAAGAGAGAATAGCAGACGAATAACTTGGGGGAAGCTGCGGAATTTATTGAGGGCGATCCCTCGCTGTTTATTGGTCAGCGTCCTCGGACGATTCAGTGAAGCACTTCCAGCTGGCTTGGAGAACTCTTGGGACTTCCCTGCTCAGCGAAGACACGATCTCTCCCATTCCTTGGGCGCGCTTGCCGCCGAAGTCCTGAGCGTGATCCCTGAGTGCCCTGACGGCTTCCATGAGAGAATTGCGGGCCACACCACCTGCTCCGCTCACGATTCCGAGTCCTCTCTTCATCCTGCAGGCCATTCTGGTGGCGATGTTGCCCTCAGTGCAATCGCTAGCCTGGCTCCGTTGCGTTTCCATCCTGGAGTCGATAGAGAGAACTTCGTGAGAATCAGACCTTGTGGAGACTCCCCGACAGATGAGGCAGAGTTCCTGCAACGCTTACTCCTCCTTCAGATTTTCACTGAATCGTTGGCGGATTTCGGCGATTTGCTTGGAGAGCTTGTCGGCGATATCGTCCCTGTGTTCGCTCATGTTGCTCACTCGAGATCGGATATCCTCGAAAGTCCTGTTGACGGCATCGCCCATGGTTCCGCTGACGCATCGGATACCTTCACGGAGTTTAGGTTTTTGAGAGAAATTCAGAATCCACCCGATATGATCGCGTTTAACTATTTCAACTCGTCAATAAGCCATGCCCCGACGCGAGCGGCATATATCGCTGAGAGGGAGACGCCGAACTCGAGGGAGCAGACTCCTGGAAGCGGATCGATCGGAAGATTCTCACCCTCCCCGACAGACCACGCGCTCGCGTGCGCAGCCAGAAGGCAGAAAGCGAAAACGGCGAGAGAACGCATCTTGCAGAAGGGTTGCAAAAGACAGTGATTGCGTAGAGACCGACTCTACCTTATATATGTTCAGGCAAGATGTAGACAATGGAGAAGACGCTCAGGCGGGCTTCCGGCGAACGAGACGAGGTCAGAATAGGGTTGACAATTGAATGCCCCGTGAGCTAAGGCAACATCGGCGACTGCGAAAATCAGGGCAAACGTCTCCCTAATGAAAATGTCGATCCGTATGCGTGGAGTCTCCACTGCCTGCATCGTGGACGGAGTTCGAAATGGTGTGCTGTTTGCGCTCGGAACGCGGAGACGATCCCGAGCAGCTTGAGTGGTGCCCGATTCCGAGGTGAAGAGGTACATACCCTGAAGTCCCGCAAATGATCGGCCCATCAGACAAGGGGCTCCTGACGAGAGCTGGGGCTGTTGATGGAGAGTGGTGTCTTTGAGAACGAAGGTCGCCTCTAACGATAGGCCTCCGGGGAACGGAAGGCTCTTCAGTCGCACAATAAGCCTTGATCGTGTTCTATCCATCAATGCACCCGAATAAAGGAGATAAAGATCTCTCGCAAATCGATTCGTCTCTGAGCCAGATTATTCTGTTCAGCTGCCTGCTCGAGCCTCTCTGGATCCCGCTTCCGAATGAGTCGTCGGCTGGAATCATTATTGATGGATGGCGCACTCTCCGTCTGTGGCGGCTTAGCGGATTCAGACACCGGACTCGGCTTCGAAAAACTTGGAATCCCCGTGTAGTAGAGCGAATAGCGGAAGAAGCGTGATCGAAGGGTACCTCCGTTTCCGTCATCGAGATATACGATCATCATCATGACCCTCACGCCGGATTCGCCGTGCGCGGATTCCGGACCAGGGTCTCCGGGGGGATCTTCATTGAGCTCCCCACGAGGGTCAGGTCGGAGCATGCAAGAGGGATGTTCGATCCCGATTATTTTCAAAATCCACATTTCCGGCGAAAGGAGCAAGTCTCGGCTCCGACTCAGCCGGGTATAGACTCTCCGATTAGTCAGTTCAGGGAAGAGGAGTTTATGGACTGTTTGTTTTTCTTGCTTGTCCCCGCGGCATTGGAGCTCGTGTGCACACGTATGACTCGCTCTTGCGATACAGAAGATGATCCGGATCAGACTCCCGCCAATCTCAGGCTCGACTCCGGAATCTCGAATCTCAGGGCAATCCCACTGAATCGGTCGTAACTGCTGCGAAACTCAGCATCCCGAGATCCTGGACCTGAGGCAGTACTCCCAAATTTACAATCCCAATAAGTTCTCTCTGCGTTCGTTACCAGCTTTCTCTGCTGATTTTGAGTGATCGGCGACCGAGGACAACTTCCACAGCACCTGAGCCAGCGCGAGACTCCTGATCTCTCTGGAAAATTCAGTAAATTCATACCCCTTCGGGTAGCAGATGCGAACAGCTCTCGAAACGTCGCGATCATAGCGAGAGAGCTGGGAGGTGCGCTCGAGACGTTGTCGAATGACGAGCATTGTTCTGATCTGCGGCTGTGTATAAAACTAGCGAGAAATCAATGGAGCTTATTGTCTGTCAAATCCTTCCTGTCAACATGCGCTCCTTCGCTGTCATTGCTACCTTCCTCCTGGTCGCTCAGGCGCAAGCCTTCGACGCCAAAGAGAGTAGGCACGGTTCCCTGATTTCTGTCTGAGTTTCCATAGTAGTGAGGTTTTGGAAGTCCGTCGTTCTCCTCAATCAACCCCCTCTCTTTCGAACGCCGCCCCGAACTCGTTCAGGATTCTGTTCAGGTGCTAACGGAGTGTGCTCACGTCTCCAGCCATCCAATGCATTCAGAACCACATGCAGACTGCTCTGAACAACTCTTTCGACGATATCGGGGACAGATTCGACAACATCGACGGACACAGGCAGGAGCTCACAAAGTCGCTCCGGAACGAGCTGGAGGAAATCCGCGATACCTTCCAGGAGAATTTGGAGAAACGGTGATTACCTCACGCTCTTGACTCAAACTTCCTGATGTTCGAGAAGACTCGCGTTGAAGCTCCCTGATTCTTTTCCAGAATGCAGGAAATCGATACCAATTGCGATGAGGAGGAGGGCATGATCAACAAAGCCAAGTGCGCCTCCGCTTCAGAGTCCAGATCATCCTCGCTGCCAGCTCGGAAGCTACAGCCGCTCTCAAATCCGCATCCAAGGCCATCTACGGCCACACCAAGGACTTCGGTGGTAAGGGCATGGACTCCATGAAGAATCTCGGACAGATGATCATGGATGGACTCCCCAAGCTCATGCAAGCAGCCAGAGAATGCTTTTGAAGACCGAAGCGTCCATATTCCCCCGAGGTCATCGATAATTTCACAACTGCATGAGAATAAATGATGGTCTTCGAAATCCGTCGCTCCAGGACACTTTAATTCCTCTTGCTGTCACGCAACGCTCCATCGGAAGCTGATATTTCCGCTTACTTCGACTTGCGGGACGGTGTCTTGGAGGATAGTTGTGATCATACATAGATCATACATAGAAGATGATTCTTAAGCATGCAAAAGACCGAGAATCGTAGACACCGGATTCCAGCAAAAACGAGCTCCTGGTCGATGATATTTTCGAGAATCAAGGGAAGGCACCCGCTGGAGGAAAGAGAATGCGCCTGCTTGAGAGACCCCCAGGCAGTGAATTCAGTTCCAGAACTCAAAGTGGAACGGAGAACGGCATCCATCAATAAACCATCAGGTTCCTGAATGTACCTGGACGTTAGCTGGACTCCGTCGCGTCGAAGAGGAGCTGAAGCCAAGAGAGCTGATCTGGTTTTGTGACCACTCGAGAGCCTCGACTAGGATCCGTTGCGTACGATTCCGCATCGTGCTCTCTCCCGAGGGTCAGAGAGCTGTAGAAATCCTCTAACGATCGACCGTGCATCCGACACTCCATCTCTAGAATTCAATCACAACGTTCCGTCGTTCAGGGGTGATCTAACCGTTGGAGAACCTCGCTCCCGTCATTCGTCTGTATGTACAGGGTGGTTCATTCAAATCTTACGATTTCAAGTGCTATATTCTCAGGAGCCATAGCTCGAAAACGGTCGCGACGAGTGGCTCCGAGATCAGCGCAATGGGAGATTTCTCGCACTGAATTCCCAGACTTGACGGATTTTCTTTCTCTTCCGTCTACGATCAGACAAACCTCTTGTCAAGAGGACAAAATGGATTCGAAACAAATCATTCATCCATTGAGACACACATCTTTCAATGATCTGTGGAACTCTCTGGGCACAAGACCCTCACGGTTTGGAACCTGATCACTGTTCTTCCAAATGCTCATTTGTGGGAAGTTGGTGAGAAGTTGTGACATTCGCCGACAACGGCTTTCCGGGGTGCACCTCTCCAATCGCTCGCTGAGCGGGATGGGACATTGGGCCCATTTTGTCGAGGAAGATTGCCACATGTTCCAGAGTTTCCTGCCGGGAAAAGCGTTCGAAGATGAGGAAGGCTCAACTTCCGACACGACATCGGTCCATGGCATTCAGAGGCGATGCTCCCAAACTTCCAAGACGAGAGGTATGGGAGAAGAACTGTGAGGCCTAAATGCCGACGCAAAAACCGAGGCCTAATGGAACTGCGTCGCAGTTTCTATTGAGTTTTGGATGCCGTTAGAAAGCTTTCAAGACATTTATGGCACAACATTGGAAATGTGCACATGATCCCGTGAGTAGGCTTTCCTGATGCTTTCTTGAATTCCTTGGACTTCCAAAAACTGGCATTTGCGGAAACAGCATATTGGTCCTCCCCTCTTGAGTCAAATCAATGGGAGTCCGGGAGTAAGGCTTTTCTTGGACGGAATGCTTGCACGCTGTTGAAGATGGAGTGCCAGTTTGTTCAATCTCGAGTCATCTCCGTCGCAATTGCGAGACACTCCAGCGGAAATGGGGATATTGACGTTCGAGGATCGCTCTCGGGCAGCACTTTCTTCCATTCAAAATCATCCATTCTTTCCGTTTCATTTCATTCGGATAACGATTTTAGAGTTAGCTTGTGTCAGAGCCTTACTCGCGCTCAAGCCTTTCGCACAGAGATCGTGGTCCCTAAAGCAAGTCGCTCAATAACATTCTCAGCCGTTTGCGAGAATGCCAGCATCGAACTTCTCAGAAACCGAGCGCAGTTTCACCGTCTTCGCCTATCTTGATAACAATCGATCGGCGATCGCTGCTCAGAGGGCGTTTAGGCGCCATTTCAATCTCGGACCTCGCGAGCGAGTCCCAAGTCGCGCATCCATTCAATCCTGGACGGATGTCTTCCTCGAGACCGGAAGAACCGAGAGACCGAGATCTCGTACCCGCACAGTGCGTACCGTCGCCGAGATTGAGCGGGTGCGACAAGCGATTTCCCGCTCGCCGCAGCGATCCGCGAGGAGGCCCTCAAGTTCTTTAGGAATTGCAAGGACCACATTGGGGAGGATCCTGCACGAAGACCTCGATCTCCATCCCTATGAGCTCGCTGTGGCCCAAGAGCTCCGCAGCGGTGATTTCATTGCGCGTCAGCGAGCTTGCATAGCGCTCCGCGACCGCCTTCTCCTCGATGCCGTGGTGTTCTTCAGTGATGAAGCTCACTTCGAGCTGTCAGGTTGCGTAAATCGTCAGAATATGCGATATTGGAGCGCTCAGAGTCCGCAACAGCTCCTTACGAAGCCTCTCCACGCGAAACGTCTGACTGTATGGAGCGCGATTTCAACTGCGGGGATAATTGGCCCTTTCTTTTTCGAAGAAAACGGGGTCACCGTCACTGTGAACAGTGGCCGGTACCTCTCAATGCTTGAGACTTTTTTCCGGCCTCAGCTTCGGCTAATGGGCCTGGATCGCGTGTGGTTCCAACAAGATGGTGCCACAGCCCACACTGCGAATATTGTGATGCAGTTCCTGCGACGGGCATTTCCGGGGAAGCTCATTTCGAGGCGTGGGGACTTGGAGTGGCCAGCTCGGTCCCCAGACTTGACACCATGCGACTTCTTTTTATGGGGATACCTCAAATGATGAAAACCTGTATCCTAGAGAGACTCAGTGATAACACGTGCTGTGCGTGGCGTAGCCTGTGAACGAGTGTGTCTTTTCATTGACCGTTGGAATTGTATCCCGCTAGGCCGACGACGAAGTGATCGCGGCAAACGCCGCACCGGCTCCGTTGGTTCAGCGCACTTTCCAACACCTCCCCTTGCGCGGGACCACGGAGCTCAAAAGAGACCCAACTGTCTCCTGCAGCGATTGAACTTCTCCACGCTCGAGCTTTTGGTGAAAACGTCCGCGGTCATTTCGTTCGTCGAAATGTGTTTGATGGATACAAGTCCCTCTGACACCATATTGCGGATGAAGTGGTGCCTGAGATCGATGTGTTTCGTTTTTGCATGGAAGACGTT